TGTCCTGGTGGTCTCTACCTGGGGCCAAAGGAATTGTTTGCTATTAATCTGTTTTTTAATCCCCTTTTCTGGTCTTTCTCTCAGCAGCTCAAATGACATAATGAAACAGTGTGCCTTTCATCAAGGAAAATGAGCAATGGAAAATACAAAGCAACAACCTGAATGCAAGCAATGGCATGCTGAATGCAATTACTAAGAGAGAAACTACTTATTTTCACTAAAATGGAGTGGCATACTCCTAGTCTGAGTTTTTCTGTTGGTACTGTAAACCCAGTGCAGGAAGACTGGCAACGCCCCCTGTTGGAATTAGCTGGCATTTAAGAAGAAGAGGAGCAGTGGGAGAAGCTAGTACATGAGGACATTTCTCTACCATAGCTATGCAGGGCAGGGCCCTTTCACAAAAGTTCTCTGTTACAAGGCATCAAATGAGTCAGAACTGTATTCTCTGGACTATCCCTAGAGCATAGCTTGACTCATCTACAAATACTAACATTCCTTTTTGAAGAAGTGGAACAGAAATATTTTCCTGTTGGGAATGATAGGATGGTGTGGACTTAAAAATTCTTTTAGTGAACATGTAGTCAGAAAAACAAACCAAGCACAAAAGCTCCTCTGTAGCACCCTCCAGGAAAGTTAAAACTGTTATCTGTGGGGCTGGGAAGGTGTGCTTGCCTTGCATGCATGAGGCCCTGAGTTCGATTCCTCAGCACCACATAAGCAGAAAAAACCAGAAGTGGCGCTGTGGCTTACGTGACAGAGCGCTAGCCTTGAGCTGAAGAGGTGAGGGACAGTGCTCAGGCCCAGAGTTCAAGCCCCACCAACCGACCAAAACAAAAACAAACAAACAAACAAAAACCTGTCATCTGTAAATGTCCACTGATAGAGAACAATTTATAAATAGGTTTAGCGCATCCATACATTGGGAAATAAGTCAGGTGACATGGAACAACCTCAAAGATGTATTTATTAGTAACTAATAATAAAAAGTGGAAAAAGAAAAGTGCTCATATATATGATTTTAAATATATAATCAAATGTACAGAAATTTTCTATAGAAGATTCCACAAGGAAATAATGACCATGGTGTCGGGGGAGAGAAGGAACCTAGTTACTTGTGCAGAAAAATGAAACTTCTTTTTACTATATTTATTTGTGTACTATTTACTTGTGTACTATTTACTGGTGTACTATACCTTACATGTCAATTTTTAGTTTTTTTTTTTTTTGGCCAGGTGCTGGTGGCTCACACCTGTAATCCTGGTTTGAAGCCAGCCCAGGCAGGAAAGACCATGAGATTTTTTTTTTTTTGCCAGTTCTGAGGCTTGAACTCAGGGCCTGGTCACCGTCCCTGAGCTTCTTTTGCTCAAGGCTAGCACTCTACCACTTGAGCCACAGTGCCACTTCTGGCTTTTTCTATTTATGTGGTTCTGAGGAACTGAACCCAGGGCTTCATGCATGCTAGTCCTGCCACTAAGCCACATTGTCAGCTGATGAGACTCTTATCTCCAATAAATTACTAAGAAAAATCTGGAAGTGAGCTGGGTGCTAGTGGCTCAAGCCTGTAAACCTTGCTACTTAGGAGGCTGAGATCTGAGGATAGTGGTTTGAAGCTAGCCTAGGCAGAAAAGTCCCTGAGACTCTTATCTCCAATTAACCACTCAAAACCTAGAAGTGGGGCTGTGGCTCAAGTGGTAGAACACTAGCCTTGAGCACAAAGAGGCTCAGGGACAGTTCCCAGGCCCTGAGTTCAAGCCCCACAACCGACAAAAAAAAGCTGGAAGTGGTGCTGTGGTTCAAGTGGTTACAACACTAGCCTTGAGAAGAAGCTCATTTGCTCAAAGATAGTGTCCAGGCCCTGAATTTAAGCCCAAGAACTGGCAAATAAATATCATTTTTTATTTCTATTTTTTGTGCCAGTTCTGGGGCTTGAACTCAGAGCCTGGGCACTGTCCCTAAGTTTCTTTTGCTCAAGGCTAGCACTCTACTACTTGAGCCACAGGTCCTCTTTAAACATTTTGGGGATTAATTGGAGATAAGAGTCTCATAGACTTTCCTGCCTGGGGTTGGTTTCAAACCTTGTTTCTTGAATCTTAGCCTCCTGAGTAGCTAGGATTATAGGCATAAGCCACTGGTATTTGGCTTTCTAATCAGTTTTTTTTTTTAATGGAACTTTATGAAGATTTTTGGATTAGTGGCTTCTCTGGCTCCTCCATAGAACAGGCTTTCATGCTTCATAATGGTAGTAGATGCAGGCTAGAAGTGACCTTTTGCTGAGCTCATCATCCATCCTGCTGGGGAAATCCAAGCCTGGTTTCTTAAGCAGGGAAAAGGTTTACAGCCTTTCTGTGGGAAAGGGAGCTGGAGTGGCTCCAGAAACTCTGACATGCTGAGGGACAGATGTGGGAACAGGACAACCCCTTGCCTCCAGAAACTCTGTCCTAAGGAACCTTCTTAGGCCTTTGAGAACTGTTTGCTCCTTTGTACCTGCCATGAATAAAACTATACTTCAATTAATCTTCCAGCCAACATACTAAAAGACAGCATCCATCTCCCTGTCCCAATAAAAGGTTCAAAATGAAAAGGTAGAAAAAGCAAAAAGAGGGCCAGGTGTTGGTGGCTCACACCTGTAACCATAGCTACTCAGAAGGCTGAGATCTGAGGATCGAGGTTCAGAGCCAGCCCATGGAGGAAAATACATGAGACTCTTATCTCCAATAAACCACCAGAAAACTGGAAGTAATGCTGTGGTTCAATATAGAGCGCTTACCTTGAGTGAAGAGCTCAGGGACAATACCCAGGCCCAGAATTCAAACCCCACAACAGACAGACAGACAGGCAGACAGGCAGAAAGAAAGAAAGAAAGAAAGAAAGAAAAGAAAGAAAGAAAGAAAGAAAGAAAGAAAGAAAGGAAGGAAGGAAGGAAGGAAGGAAGGAAGGAAGGAAGGAAGGAAGGAAGGAAGGGAAAGAAGAAAGAAGGGAGGGAGGGAGGGAGGGAGGGAGGGAGGAAGGGAGGAAGGAAGGAAGGAAGGAAGGAAGGAAGGAAGGAAGGAAGGAAGAGCGAGCAAAAGAGCCAGGGGCTGGTAGTAGTGTCACCTGTAATCCTAGCTAGTCAGGAGACTAAGTTATGAGACACTCAGCTCAAGGCCATCCTGGGCAAAAAAAAGTCAATTAAGAGCAAAAAGCCAGGAGTGGAGGTGTGGTTCAAGTGGTAGCCTTAAGTGAAAAAATCAAAAGCCAAGCAAACTCAAAGCCCTGAGTTCAAGCCCCAGTACAAAAAAAAAAAAAAAGGTGGGGGGGGAAGGACCAGAAGCACATAGGCTTGAGTTTAAGTGCCAAGCCAATACGGCCTCTTACCTGCGTTTCTTTTTCTTGTCTGTCAAATAAAGATAAGAGAATCTTGGGGCTGGGAAGGTGGCTCAGTGGTAGAGCGCTTGCCTTGCATGCACGAGGCCCTGGGTTCGATTCCTCAGCACCACATAAGAAAAAAGGCGGAAGTGGCACTGTGGCTCAAGCGGTAGAGCGCTAGCCTTGAGCTGAAGAGCTGAGGGACAGCGCCCAGGCCCAGAGTTCAGGCCCCACGACCAGACCAAAAAAAAAAAAAAAAAAGATAGGAGAATCTGCCAGATGCTTGTGGCTCTAGTTACTCAGGATACTGAGATCTGAGGATCACAGTTCAAAGCCAGCCCAGGCAGGAAAGTCCAGGAGACTCTTATCTCCAATAAACTACTCCTCAAAAGCTGGAAGTAGAGCTGTGGCTCAAGTGGTAGGACACTAGCTTTGAGCAAAAGCTTAGGGACAGTGCCCAAGCTCTGAGTTCAAGCCCCAGGATAAACATAAAGAAAGAGGGAGAGGGAGGAAGGGAGGGAGGGAGGAGAGAGAGAGAGACAGAGACAGAGAGAATCCATGATTTCCCTGATTGCTTACTGGTAGTCTCTGGGATGTACAGAGGAAAATGGACATAACACATACATCTTATTCTCTTGAGTTTATTGTCAGCTAGAGAAAGATAGAGGGAGGCAATTTTTTAGACAGGTGAGAGATGAGTCAAAACTCTTTCTTTTCCTTTTTTTTTTTCTTCTTTTTTTCTGATCATAGGGCTTGAACTCTGGGCCTGGGCGCTGTCCCTCAGCTCTGCAGCTCAAGGATAGCACTCTACCACTTGAGCCACAGCGCCACTTCCAGTTTTCGGAGTGGTTTACTGGAGATAAGAGTCTCACGGACTTTCCTGCCCGGGCTGGCTTTGAACCGTGATCCTCAGATCTCAGCCTCCTGAGTAGCTAGGATTACAGGCGCAAGACACTGGCACCTGGCAATTTTCATTATTACCTATTCTAATCCTCCTTCTGAGGCCAGTTTTTAAGGAGCAGAGCATTGGCGAGAAGCTTTGCAGCCCCTCATGAGTTCTGTGATTTAATTTCACTCCTCTCTTCTTTTCCACACACCACCTTTCAACCTCGCGTAGGCTAAGGGTTGGCTAACTTTGAGTTAGGGGGTGGGGCGAGAGGAAAGGGAGTCAGAGGCCGCTTTGAAAAAGATTGCGAGGAAGGTGGCCCTTCAGGCAGCGGCTAAGGCCACATTTCGCCTGGGTGTAATTCAGACTCTCACGGTCCACCTGACTCGCCGCTTTGTAGAACTTTTAAGAGGCTGAAGTGGGTCTGCAGAGGAGTGGGGAAAAGGGAAGAGGAAAAGTAGAGCACACTCTGAGGACTTGATCCCTTTCTCAGGCTCACATTCCTCCGCCCCAGTCCCGCTCCGGCCGCCGCCTCCACTAACACCCCCCCCCCCCCCCCCCCCAGTCTCGCGATCCAACTATTCCAACCATCCTGGGCTGGGTGGGGCGCTCGGTTCTTGGGTCTCCCCCCCCCTCCCTCGCCGTCGGTCTCCCCCTTCTGCCCCGATCCCTCCCTTTCTGGGATGGGGCCAGCCAATGAGCTACGAGACTCCGGGTTTGGCCTGGGAGCTGGGTTGTGCGCGAATCCCGCCCCCCCCCCCCTCCCGCTCCACAGTTCTGGCCGCCGTCCCGGTGCGCACGGACGTGGCTCGAGTTTCCTCCAGCTCTCCGCGCGCTCGCTCGCTCTTCTCCCACTCTCACTCCTTCTTCTCTCCCGATCTCCCGCTCCACTCAGCCAGCCGCTTCCCTGCACGGCTCCCAGTAAGCCATGGAGGACGTCACGCTCCAAATCGTCGAGCGACCGTTTCCCGGGTTCCCCGATGCCACCGAGAGTCCGGAGCCCTCTCCAGTGGGGGCGCCGACGACCGAAGAGCCGTCGGGGGCCGGCTCTGAAGAGCTGATCAAATCAGATCAGGTGAACGGTGTGCTGGTACTGAGTCTCCTGGATAAAATCATCGGCGCTGTCGACCAGATCCAGCTGACCCAAACCCAGCTGGAGGAGCGGCAGGCGGAGATGGAGGGCGCGGTGCAAAGCATCCAGGGCGAACTGAGCAAGCTGGGCAAGGCGCACGCCACCACCAGTAACACCGTGAGCAAATTGCTGGAGAAGGTGCGCAAGGTCAGCGTCAACGTGAAGACCGTGCGCGGCAGCCTGGAGCGCCAGGCTGGCCAGATTAAGAAGCTGGAGGTCAACGAGGCCGAGCTGCTGCGGCGCCGCAACTTTAAAGTCATGATCTACCAGGTGAGGCTGCGGGTCAGACCGCGCTCAGGGCCCCGACACCCACCCCCAATCTTCCCCGAGCCCCGCTACCCAGCCCCGGTCCCCGGCGCCCCGGGCTTGGTGGAGTTAGGGGAAGAGCCCTACTCCGTTGCGTGGCTCTCCCTCTTTTTGGAGAGCTCGACTCGGTTGGGGTGCGGGGTGGGGGCGCGGCGGATTCTTGGGGGAGCTCACCGGGGGCGCGCGCTGCACTCCGCGCTTCCCCGCCCAGGCCCCTCCCTCTGGCCTCTAACTCAAAAGCGGAACTTTTTGGGGGGTGGGGGGGGGGTGAAGGGGATTGGACTCCGGAACGCTGCCTTTAGCCGATTGTACCACAACTTGGTTCTGTCAGATGCTTTCCTATTGGGGTGCAGTTTCAAGGGAACATCCGAGGGTCCCTGGCGACCGTTCGGGTCCGCTGTAAGCGGACACTAGAGGCAAGGCCCGGACTTGGGGCCTCCGGCGCTTCGGGCCCAATATAGCGGGTGATTCAGGGCTCAGGAACGCACTCGCGGGGGCTGCGCCAGGCGAGGGACGCGACCGCCAGCCCACCTCACTCGATCCCCGCGCCCCCGCATCAGCCTCGGCTCCCCACGCCCGCCTGCCCCCTTCCTCGGAACAGCCCCGGGCCTCCAGGCACTTCCAAGTTCCTGGGGACAACGTTAGCCCACGTTGCACCCCACCCTGCGCCCTTGGCCTGCTGGAAGCGGGTGGGACAGGAAGGGGTGGGCGTGGGCGGTAGGAGTGCGGGGCGCGGCGGGTGAACAGCCTCCTGGGAGGCCCAGGGTCTGGGCGCGGTGAATCACACCCCCCCCACCCGCATACCTGCGGGGGAGGGGACCGGGGAGATGGTGTGGAGAGGCAGAGTGTGGGAGAGAGGAGGCTGATGAGCCCTAGGCTCCCTCCCCTCTACCCCTCCTCAAGTCCCCTAGCACCTAGTGGCTTCCTTTGCCTGCATTCTTCTCTAATGAATACAAATGTAACTTTTGTACCGTGACTCCCAAATAAATTCGGGAATCTCAGTATTGCTGCTCCTCTCCACTCCCCTTTTTTAATCCCATTAGGAGTGAGTCTAAGCTCAGGGCTGGGCCCGAATGTGCCTAGCCTTGCCCCCTTCCATGGTCCTAGGCCTGATTGATGTTCCTATCCCAAGGGATCAGGATCCTGAGGGCTTTAGTGGTTAGTTTGGACTCTAGTCTCTGAGAGAATGGAAGAAAAAGGAAAAGCCCTACGCCTCCTGTGGTTTTGCCCACCACTCTGGGGCCTGGTCAAGCTGGTTTTTAGTGATCAGCTGGGGTGAGGTGAGGTCCTTGGCTTGGTCTCTCCATAGGGAACTGAGAGAGATACAGATTGGGACAGGTGTTTGGGAAGAACAGAGACAGGTGATGAGTGGTACCTCTGTGAGGAGATGGTTGGTCAGGGCAGAAATGGCACTCCTCCCATTTCCCCTGCACGTACTGCTCAGGCCTTTCTCCACAAAGCCTGGGTCTTTACAAAGCTTTCCTTCTTGGTGGGAGTGTAATGATTCATGCCTGTGATGCCAGCACTTGTGAGGTAGAAGTAGGAGGATCACAAGTTCATGGCCAGCCTGGATTATATAGCCCTGTCTTTAAAGACAGACCAAAGAACTGTGCATATATTTATTTTGTAGTACTTGGGACTGAATCTAGGGCTTACCTAGCAACTGCTCTTCCATTTCAGCTAACATCCAGTCTCTTTGCTTTTCGTATTAGTACATATTTACCCAGAGCTTTATCCATTTACCCTAACTGCTTGCATGTAGTAGGATGTATGGGGGGGAGTGAAGATTTTCTTTTTATTTATTTATTTTTTGGGGGGGTCCGGTCATGGGCCTGGGCGCTGTCCCTCAGCTCTTCAGCTCAAGGCTTGTGTTAAACATCCTTGTGTTAAAGACAGAAATTCTGACAGTTATGGATGGAGACAAGAGAATTATGATGGAGACAAGACTTCTCTTCCAAGGCCCATGACATCCCTTTGTTCCCACTCTTCCCAGCACTGGGCAGGGTGGGGTCTATAATAGCAAGTGTGTGTGTTGGTGGGTGGGTTGGGGAGAGTGTCTATAACAGCATGGCTTTGACTATATGTGTACTAAGCCTCAAAGAGTTGAGGCAGAAGAGTGGCGTACAGCTGGAAGCTTGGCTCAAATGGTAGAATAGTTGCCTACTATGGGCAAGAGCCTAGGTTTGATTTCTAACACTTCAAAAAGGAGGAAGCCAGGCACCGGTGGCTCATGCCTGTAATCCTAGCTACTCAGGAGGCTGAGATCTGAGGATCGCAGTTCAAAGCCAGCCTGGGCAGGAACGTCCCGAGACTCTTATCTCTAATTAACCACCTGAAAACCTGAAGTGGCATTGTGGCTCAAGTGCTAACCTTGAGCTGCAGAGTTGAGGGACAGCTCCCAGGCCCAGAGTTCAAGTCCCACAACAGAAGAGAGAGAAATTAAAAAAGGAGGAGATGGAGAAAGGGGTGAGGGTGGAGCAGACCCATTGCGGAAATAACTAAAAAATTAAATGCTCCAATCCTGAAGGGAGCTCAGAGGTAGGGAAACGATAACAGCAAGTAAAGCTGGGTGGGGTCCACGGTTGCCAAACTTCTCTGAGCTGTGGTATAGATGTCTGAGGTGGGGGAGAGAGACCTCCACTTCTGGAGAAAAACAGATGCTTCTCCTCCTCAGGTCTGTAGAGGTCTAAGGCCTGAGAAAGAATGAGGTAAAAATAGCTGTGTGTTTTGGCAGACCTAATAGGGAAGACTGGGGGCAGCAGTTATGAGAAAGTTAGGCTGGGAGGCAGGATGCTTGGGTAACCAGGAAAAAAGAGAGATTGGGGTGGGGGGGGGAAGGAGAGGAGGAGAAAGGAGGAGAGAGGGACAGAGAGAGGAGTTGAGATGGATTGATTTGGAGAAGTGGTTTCTGGTATGCTGTAGGGTTTTCAGAGGGAAAAGTAGGGAAGAGATGCTGTATTTCCTACTGCAGATGGGAGGGTATGATGTGGGGGTAAGGTAGAGGAGGACACTAAAGGATCATAATAATATTTTTTTTTGTCGGTTCTGGGGCCTGAAGTCTGGGTCTGGGCGCTGTCCCTCAGCTCTTCAACTCAAGGCTAGTGCTCTACTTGAGCCACAGCGCCACTTCTGGCTTTTTTTTTCTTTCTGCTTATGTGGTGCTGAGGAATTGAACCCAGGACCTCATGCATGCAAGGCAAGTGCTCTAACACTGAGCCATCTTCCCAGCCCCCTGATCCAATTTCTTAGTTGGGGTTCACTTATCTGTCCACAAATAAAAGCTAGCAGTTTGGCATTCCATCCTATTAGTTGATGCTTAGCTGGGCAGCAGAATGAATAAAAAAAGCAAATGAATAAAGAAAAGCAAATTGTACTAGTAATCGGGGTGCATGGACTGAGGGCTACTGAGAGAGTCAGGCCAGGTTTTGCTCTAAAATACCATCAGGAGCTGGAGGCATAACTCAGGTGGTAGAACATCATCAGTCATTGAGCAGAAGTGACAGACACTGAATTCAAGTCCTGGTCCTGGAAAAACAATAAACTCTTAAACACAGTGCAACTGGGTGGAGCTATGAGTGTTACAGAGCCAAGCCTCTCAGGCAGTGATTTAGATATATTTGAGTTATTTTATTTTTATTTTTTTGGGCCCAGTCGTGGGGCCTGACCTCTGGGCCTGGGTGCTGTCCCTCAGCTCTTCAGCTCAAGGCTAGCACTCTACCACTTGTGCCACAGCGCCACTTCCGGCTTTTTTCTTTTTGCTTATGTGGTACTGAGGAATCGAACCCAGGGCCTCATGCATGCAAGGCAAGCGCTCTACCACTGAGCCACCTTCCCAGCCCCTTGAGTTATTTTAGAATCCAGAAAGAGATGGGTGCCGGTGGCTGACACCTCTAATCTTAGCTACTCAAGGAAGCTGCGATATGAGGAACCCAGTTTGAAGAGAACCTAAGCAGAAAAGTTAGTGAGACTCTTTATCTTCAGTTAACCAACAAAAATGTAGAAGTGAGTTATGGCTCAAGTGGTAGAGTGCCATCCTTTAGTGAAAAAGTAAATGAAAACATGAGATCTCCTAAGTTGAAGTCCTTGTACAGGCACGCGCGCACGCACACATACGCACACACACAGAAAAGGAGAGAGAATGGAACTATTGTCTGAATATGTTTGTTTGTATCATTTGAGCCATGATTCCAGCTCTTTTTTGCATCAGTTATTTTCTTTCTTTTTCTTGTTTTTTTTTTTGCCAGTTCTGGGGCTTGAACTCAGGGCGTGGGCACTGTTCCTGAGCTGCTTTTGCTCAGTGTTAGCACTCTACCACTTGAGCCACAGCACCACTTCTGGCTTTTTTTTTTTGGTTGGTCCTGGGGGCTGAACTCTGGGCCTGAGCGCTGTCCCTCAGCTCTTCAGCTCAAGGCTAGCGCCCTACCACTTGAGCCACATCACCACTTCTGCCTTTTTTCTGCTTATGTGGTACTGAGGAATCGAACCCAGGAACTCATGCATGTGAGGCAAGCACTCTACTACTGAGCCACATTTCCAGCCCTCATCATTTTTTTTTTTTGTTTTTGGGCTTTTTTTGTTAGTTGTGGGGCCTGAACTCTGGTGCTGGGCACTGTCCCTCAGCTCTTCAGCTCAAGGCTAGCACTCTACCACTTGAGCCACAGTGCTACTTCCAGCCTTTTCTGCTTATATGGTGCTGAGGACTGGAACCCAGGGCCTCATGCATGCAAGGCAAGCACTCTACCACTGAGCTACCTTCCCAGCCCATCATCAGTTATTTTCAAAGTAGGGTCTCACTTCAAACCTGGACTGTGATCCTTCTATTTGTGCTTCCCTATATTTCTAGGGATAGGTACATGCCTCTGTGCCCAGCCATTATTTCCCTAGTATCTGGGACAACAGATACATGCCATAGTGCATAGTCCTTGGTTAAGATGGAGTCTCTCCACGTTCTTTTTCGTCTCTAG